TACCGAGCCCCGCGGGACGGCCTCGGGCCGCGGTCTGGGGTGCTCGGGACACGCGTGTCGCTGGGCACACCGCTGTCCGCGCGAGCGGCTCTGCTGACACTGCGTCTTACAAAGTTGTGTGCGAGCTCGAGCTGTGCCGGGTTTTTAAGTTCTTTACTATTTTTTAATGAAAGCTTGAAGATAAATGTTCTTTTGAACATTAACCTTCGTATTAGATTTTCTTCTCGCGCGGAAGAAAGAAAAGAGTTTGGGTACTTTACCTCAACACTGCCAAGTTTTTCCCTCTTCATAAAGCCTTATAATAATGCTGGTTCCACTTCAAAAGGTGGATTGTTGTGCGTGGAAGCACAATTAGACACTGTTTCTAGAATACAGCCCCTCTTTGTGATCAGCACTGGCATTCCAGGAGACTTGGTCAGTGGTTTTTGTGTGTGCTCATATTGTTGGATGAATGAATTCTTGATGCAGGTGTATTGCTCTGTATGACAATATAGAGTGGCACCTTCAGCATCAAAGGTTTACTTTGTAACGTGCAAATCCAATTTTTTCAGTATGAATAATAAAAGTATACCCTCTTCAAGGTATGTTGATTTCTTTGTATTAAATAACTTCCAAAAACATAGCTTGGGGTGTGAAAGACCATCTGGGTCAATAGTAAATACTGTGTTATAATTAAGTACAATTGTCCTCATTATTAATGTAAAAACTGTACCATATCCAATAATTTAATATTTGAGATTCTCTCTCTCTCTTTCATTTTGCAGCGATGGACTGAAGCTTGAAACTGAAGTGCTGGATGGAAAGCCGAGGCTAATTTTAGCTTCTTCTGGTATTTTTTTAATCATTTATCTCAAGTAATCTTTAAAGCTTCTTGAAGTTAAACCTAAGATCCAAGCAACGCAAAGCACAGCTTTATTGAAATATTTTTCAGACTAGGAAGAATGTTTGTGCATTGTTATTTACAAGGTCTCTCACTCCCCAGCTTGATTCTTAGCAGTAGGCTGATAAGTTTCAGTGAAGTCCTGAATAGTCTGTCCACTGATGAACAGCTGGCAAATAGCCTTTCCTCTTTACAGCTTGGCTATGTTCATAAATTAAAGTGCTTATGTAACTTATAGCATGTTTCTTACCAAGGAAAAAGAGGCCTGATAACTCTCTGCTTAATTTACACAGAATTACATCATTGCAGTCTCATTTTACTGTAAAGCAGCTTTCACATTTGGCAGTTAATCTTTGCAATTTTCAATTGTTGCTCATTATTACCATCTGAGATAGACTTTTCCAGTACATGTTCATAATTAAGTGTTAATAAATTCTACTTTTGTGATTTCTCAGACATGTCTCTATAGTAAATTCAATTTTTGTGATTTGTCAGACATATGTTTCTATACAAGCCTAGTTTCCCTACCTGTTTGTTCTACATAGTCAGGATACAGAAATTTTCCATTTAATGCCCTTTAAATTATGTTTTGTTTTCTGCACTTACCAGACAGCTGTCTAATGAGGCTCTCTGGGTTATTATGAGATAGGAAGGAATACCAATGTACTGGAAACAAACCTGAACCAGCTGTGCTACAGCTTTCACTCCTTACAGCCATCATTAGCTGGATAGGGCCAGTGTACATTCCAGAGTGCTCCAAGATAAAGCAGTGCCTTGGACTGTGAACAGCCTTGAACAAGCAATCTTCTCCATAAATTAACATGTGTGTACATGGATATAAACAGCTCTTCCTTGGATTGGATGGTGTCAAAAATTGCATAAATTGTTCAGAATTTCAGTTGTCTGCACAGTCAACCACTGCTCACAGTCTTAGGGGCTAAAGTAGTGTTATTCTGTAGTAGCTAAGCTGCTGCTGGAGATAGTTGGTTTTCTTACACAGATGAAAAAAAATAAAATATCGATAGGCAGCACTTTGGGGTTTCACATTATGCATCTTCCCACTGTGATGGAAAAGACCCTGTTTATGTTCTCCTTCCCACAGGGAAGTTTGGTTTGTGTAGCATGTAGAATCCCACTTTATTTAATGTATGAATAGCCAGAAAGAAGTCAGAAAGTGACTTTTACTTATTCAAGTGAGGGTTGAATGCTTAAGAACCCAGTGATGAACATGGCCACAGAACACCTTTACTACCAAAACATTATCAGATGGTTCACAACTTAATGCCTGTCTCTGCAGGGCAGCAATTCAGCATTCTTCCAAATTTTAAAATGTTCATCTAGGTTGGAAGCCATTCATGGTGTGGGTTTGCAGACCTGAACAACAGTTAGTGTTCTCCAGGGTCTTCAGTTGGTAAGGCAAAAAAAAGCTATAGGTGCCACCAGTGCAAAGTGATGAGCAGCCCCTGCCAGAGCAGTAACTGCTGTGTGCAGCTGAAGAAGCCTTATTTCCTTATTTCCAACAGATGTGTTCCAGTAAAGTACTGTCCCTACTATTTTCTCTCCTTTTTCCATTAGCAAAATGCACAGGATTTCTTGAGTACCACGTTTCCTCTGTTAATATTACAATAAAGTATTATATTGCACATGGCACTTAGTATTTTTGAGACCACTACAGATCTGCATCTTCCAGGATTTGGGTTAAGAGACTGCAGAGTATTTTAGGGCATAGGTGAGGGGAGCAATAGTGGTTGGCATCTCAGTGATGGAGACAGACAACACCATGTAACCAAAGGAAAAAGCCATTACCACGGGGCTCTGAGAAACTATGAATAGCAGGGGAAGGTCAGACTGGCACAATAATTTTCTTAGATCTAGATAAAACTGGAAATAGTTACTGGAATATATCTAAATTTTTTTTCCAACATTTGAGGTGTATATACTGAAATAAGTAAAAAGAAAGGTAAAATAATTGGGAACGATGTTGTGGGAAAAGTACTTTCCCCTGACTTGCAAAAATCAAATGAATATAACAGTTTACTAATTTGTCAAGATTGTTTTTCAGGAGGAAGTTGTTATTAAATACTTCTTTCATATGTTTGTGTTTGTTTCCCAAAAGATAAATCAAAGCCTGCAATGAAGGTAAGTGGAAAAATTACTAGAACACACAAATTAATCATTTAATTTGTTAACACAATCTGAAAACTCATTTGAACTGTCTAAATACTTGTAATCCTATTTATGAAAGATAATTATGTACCTGTGGGTCCCTTCTAACTTGAGATACTCTGTGATTTCTCAGGTTCACAATAGCTATTAAAAAGGATTAATTCAAAGTCCTATGGCTATTTTTACCTTTGCAAAATGCTTTAGTTTACTTGGCCAAGACATCAGAGCAGCACATGGAATCAACTAAATCAGAACTTTCAGAGGTCTTAGAGGGATTCTGGTAAAACAGGAATCTGAAGTGCAGGTCTTAAAGTGATTCTGGTAAAACAGGAATCTGAAGTGTGTTCAGGTTCCAGTTTAGTCATGCAGGTTGTCTCTGAGTAAACTGGAATGCAGTGGGTTGGGGAAGGAGAGAAAGCAGAAAAATGTCCCAGTACATAGGAAATAATTCCAAGTGTACACCAAGGACCTTGAGAAGGATAAAACTTCAGTACAGAATGGAAAACTCAAGATTGAAATGGTGCTGGCTGCATGGTGAAAACACACTCCTGCTTGCAGGCAGCTTCCGAAACACTAAAGTGAAGCAGAATTAGTGTTTGTTAATTCTTATAAATGTCATGGTACAAAAAGTTATTATTCATACTGTCATTTTGAAATATTCAGATTGAGGTGCTATGTTCTTTTCCAGAGTATTCCTGGTACTTGTGAAGATGTTTTACTTGTTGCTTCAGTCTTGTTTTCATTTGTTCTGAATATAGTTTTATTTCCTGATTTGATAATCTTGTTGCTTTAACAGATGGGTAATAAAGCCAGAGCATCTAAACAGGCACTGAGAATAAAGCACACTGGGCATAGCCTGAGGTCAACACAGGATGCTTGTATCAAGCAAGAAAATCTAACAAAACCAAGGAGTGAATCAAGCTTATCCATGACAAAAGGTGAAAAACTCCAAGTTTCTAAACACTCCTCACATGAAGCCACAACTAAAGGTCACTCTTTGATTTTCCAAAGAGACAGCACAAATAGATATCCTGATTCAGAGGATCCTAATATTGTTAAGAAAACTAAACAGAAACCTCAAACCCCGTGTGTATCAGCTGAAGACTCAAGTTTGGTGTGTTTAACACAAGAACAGCTTCAACAGATATTGATGATTGTTAAAGAAGGAACTAGAAGCATCTCTGAGGCTCATAGTGAAAAGCAAGAGGAAACAGGTAATATACTCATGGAAACAGAGAAAAATGTGAAAGCTGAATTTTGCATAGATAATTTGAATTTATTTGAACACTGTAGAGATGTTCTGTTTAAAGGTCTCAACCAAAATATGTTTGCAATTCTGGATGTGAAATGGTCTGTTCCTGCTAGGAACCAAGCACCTGACAATTTTATAAAGGATTGTTTGATAGTATTCCAGTACTTTGAAGAGCAAACCAGCAAGCAATTTTGTTAATATTTCATGCAAAATAAGAACAGTTTTACATTGGGGGAGAAAACAGAGTTGAACTGTACTACTGCCTCAGAGAGGCTGTCTGTGCCAAACCAGACCAGTGTCCATCTGGTTTGTGAAGAGTTCAGATGTTCCTATCTGTCTCAAGAGCAGTACTGCTGTTTTCCTCTGACCCAAGGATGGACATGTGTCTTTTTACCTAACTGTAGTATTACTGTTGAATAGGTTTATTTTTTCCTCTCTCCAGTTCTTCTACTCAGAAGTATAAGAACTGTTTATCTTCCTGCATTGCATCCTTACTCCTGTCAGTGGGTCTGTGGAGGGGTCCAGCTCTTTTCCACTAAGAATAAGACACACTGCAATTAAGTAGAGTCCCAAAGTCTGAGGCCTTAACCAAGAAATGTTTACTATAAGTGTGGCATGCTAAAATTACCCTGCAAAGCTCTAACTTGCATGCCTTAAGTATATAAGCAAGGCTGAAAACACTCTTCTTAAATACTGGGGAATTTGCACGTTTCTACTGCTCTGAAAGTATTTACTCAATGCTGAAGAAAATTTAGTGGTCATATATGTATTTATATATTCTTATATATATTTATGTTCTACCACAGCTACTAATGAGGCATCAGAGGAAAACATTATATCATCACTCCAAAAAGATTCTGAAGTTTCATCAGTTCCAGATAAAGCAAACTCTGATTCAAGTGGGAAACAAGAACACCCACAGCCACGACAGAAAGTTATGTATGTAGATTTGTGTTATTGCCTACAAAAGTTGTGTCTCCAGTAAAGATTTGTATTGTGGTTCTTTATGTTATTATTTGTAAATACAAATTTTAAAGTTTTTAAATTGTTTGCAAGTAAATTTATTTTTATTTAAAATTTCTTTTAAGTTATAAATACTAATTTTAAATTAACAAACTAGGTTTTTTGGTAAAATTCTTCCCCCCCCTTTTCTGTAGAAAGGATTCGTGGAAACCTGCTGACATATTTAGTACCTTGGGTGAAAGAGAAGGGGAGAAAGCCTTACTGGAATTGAAAAAGACCCAGTGGAAGAAGGAATTAGGTATTTATGATGTATAGAATATATTTTTGCTCAATTTTTATTACACTCAGGATGCTAAGAAACTTGGTATGCCTTATGCTTTTTTGAATTTACTTACATCAATGTAATTGCCTCAAATTGAAAAGTATATAATGTCATTACTCTCCAAGACAGATTAAGATTTTTGAATTTCAGAGTTTCACGCAAAGATCCATTGTTTTTAATAATATTACAGTAGTGCAAGACTAGTAGAATAAAATGGAGAGAATTTATGTACTTGGTTATTTGTTAGTTTTGCCTCTTGCTGGGAAATTTTTAAGCCTTCGGTGTGTTTTAGTCTGCTCAGAGTGACTCCCCAATTACACCTGCATTTCTAGGCAGAGGCTCAGCTGCCATCCTCTTACGAGCAAAGTCTTGTTTGGAATGATTGGTCAGGCAATGGTGACAACTCTTGTAGTCCATTTTACAGTTAAACTGACAGGGTAGACATGCACTGCTGCCTTTCTGAATTTTTTTTGCAACTGCTAAGTTTTGTATTAGGAACTCTTACCAGAGTTTGGGTTTGTTTTTCTCTTTTAAGATGAACAGGTAGCACTAAAGAAGAAACTGAAAGAAACTCTGGAGGGAGAGGTGGGGTATTTCTGGGCAAAGCCTGGCAACAATAAAACCCATAAAGAGAAAGTGGAAGCTGCTGACCCAGAGCAGGTAAGGCTAGCAACAAACACAGAAGAGCACACAGTTTCCAGAGCACTGCTGCAGAACAGTTCACCTTCAGAGTCATACAAGATTTTCTTTTCTGTACGAGTCCAGTAGGATCCAATATCTGTGGTGATTTCAAGCTTTTTCACAGCATGAGTTGCTGCATCTCCCTGTCCCACACTTACGTATTGCTCCAGTTTCTAGCATCACAAAGTAAGATATTTGTAGCACGCACAACCCATTCCTGTCCTTCCATTTTGATTCCTGACCTAAAGGTATACATTTTTTCTAGTCCTGTTTTGAGGAATAATCTCAAATGTAATTCCTGGATATATAATGATTTACATTGTTCATGACCTCTCACGTATATTTGATAACTTACATAATAATGAGCATAAAAATGTTACTTTTCTTCTAATCTGCCTTTTAAAAAGTCAGCTGTCACTCTGAAAACACTGTGTCAGATACATATATTATGCTCTGATGAGACTTCTCCAGTGAAATTGCTGTTAAACACAAGTTAGGATTGTACCTGCTGTCAGTTATTACAGCAAAAGCAAATTGCCTTTTTTTTGACACATTCAGCATTCCTAGCAAAGTTATGACTCTGCCTATAGGAACTTGTTTCAATCTACATAATGAAGAAATACTGGATATGAGATGCTAAGTTACAAGTTCTGGCTGAGGTTTTAATGAATGGCAGCTTCTAGAAGTACAATGTACTTGTTTATTTTATGTTAAAGGCTATTTAATACAAACAAAACAGGTGAGCTAAATAATTCCTAAATGGTCACTTTATTTGCAGACAGTGTTTCCAGCTGACTCAGTTAATGCCACTGAGGAAAACTGTGCCTGTACAGGTGCTTTAGTCCCAGAGGATAATGAAGTTCCACTGAATGTTTCAGGAGCTCCAGCTGGGCAGTCTTCTGATTTCAGTTCTTCTGAGGTACCAGCTGGCAGTTGCACAGCATTTGTTTTCAGGGTAAGATCTTAAATTGCATGCAGGTTTTTTTACCTATTTATCGGCCACAAATGTGTATCTCCAGTAGTTCTGTTAAACCACAATCCAGTAGACCTTTTTGCTCTGTCGAAAGAATTGTGTCTGAATGAATATTTATCAAAATTCTGATGCTTTGAAGGCTGAGAATTTTCTTCTGATGTGAAGAACGGTACTAGAGGGGTGAGGTAAAGTATTAATTAGCTTTTAAGTGCCCACTGAAGAAGTAGAGAGGTGGGAACCTATGAGAAATAAGAGATACTGATAGCAGAAGGTTCAAGAAGTAGGTTTTGAGTTGTGGCTACTGAGCACTGATTGAAGAGTGTTTTGTCAGATGGCAGTGAAAGTTCTCAGTGTCACTGGAGTTTGTTAAGTAATACAGATACCACTTAAGAAGCAGGAACAGAAGATGGTATCTAGAATTTACATGAGATAGATTACTGCTGATTAGACTGTGGTACTGAATCTACCTGGAACACAGACTGAGCAATGAACTGTAGGGAGAAGGAAGGGATTTTTATTCATGATACATAAAAGGAAGGTTTTTTTTGGCATGAGAAGCTAGTGTTTCATTCAGCATCTTTCTAACAGCAGTCAGACACTTGCTGCAGTTACGAACTTATATTCTTTTTTCTGTGTGTGCCCTGTTATCCCTAGCAACTAAAGGCAAAGTTTTCTGCCGAGTCTTTATACCTAGACAAGGTATTGATGTTTGTACAAGAGACTAGCACTTATCTTATTTCAGGAAGCTGTGCCACAGGAACGACCTTTTAGTGATCTGAAGCATGAGCAACAGAAGAAGTGGCTTGAAGAGTTGGACAAACAGAAGGAAAAAGCTAAACTACGAAAAATAGAAGAAAAACATAATTTGTCAAAGGTATCTGTGGCTTAGGGACTTCTTAGAATAAGAGTTTTTATCTACATTTTTATCCTAAGAAATAAGAGATGAAATCACAGACCTAGTGAAGTGAAAACAAAGATGTAATTACCTGCAGCATGTCCAGGTTTTCACCATAAGTCCCTAGGATGGACTTACTGAGCATTCAGTCAGTAGCTGTTCCAGTATTTTGGTGGCAGAGAACAGACCACAGTGTGTGGTGTTAGAGTGCTTGCTGCAGAGATGAAGACAGGGATATTGTTACACTTCTTCATTCTTTCCCACCATGTGTAAAAGCACTAGGGTTTGGAAGGTTGTATACTGACAATGACTAGACACTTCGTAAAAATTTTTGTGTGGTCTACAGGAGATGAGAAAAGAGAAGGAAAGTTGTAGACAAATCCACTGTGTTACAGTGGTGTTTGAATCCTGTTTCTAGTAATATTATTTTAATGCACATACACTCTTAGGAAATTTTGAAAAAGTTAAAAAGCACTTCTCCAAAAAGCTTAGAAGAAAATAGTCTTACCTTGTTCCCCCTTTGGTTTTGCCAGGCTGTTGAATGTAGGTCTCTTATACTGGATTTAAAAGGAGACTGGCCAATATAATTGCTTTGCAGGTGGAATAGCTGAAGAGACTTTTAATACTGACCCTCTTGGCCAATGTACTATCTATCTCTTTTAACCCCAGGGTTTCTTCATATAGAAGCTGATTTCTTTCCTTTCCCTGTTACTATTTCTTCTAGTAGTACCTTTAAGGTCAGTGTTTTTGCTGACCAAGTAAGGCTCAGCAGTGTAATTGGTGATCTGATTTGCATTTTAAGCAAGACACTCCTGTTTTCCCATTTAAGGCATTAACTACTGTGTGTATTGCAGTTCCCTAACAGAATCTTTCCAAACGTTCCTGTTGTACATGTGTGTATTGTCTGTTTTGTTACCAGTGTAATTGAGTGCTTTTCTTTTTTTTCTTTTGTTGTTTAATATTTATTTAGGCAGAAGACCATGACAGATGGGCAATGCATTTTGATTCTTTTAAGAACCACCTTAATGCTAATGCACAACACTCCGTAAATGGAATGCACAAAAAGCAGCCTGGAAGTCTTTGCCTGTCACCTGACCCCAAGGACCTGACTGCTTTTATTCACCCTTTTTCACCTGCACCTTCAGGCAATCTCATGCCCTTAAAGGTGGGAAATGTAGAAAAAGCTGCTAAAACTGGTGCTTTGGAACACAATCAGAAAGTCAGGTGAGTGAGCTTTGTAAGGAGAATCATCTTCCCAGCCAGTACATTTCTGATCTTTGGATCTTATTTATTTGGCTTTTGTGGGGTTTTTTTTCAGAAATACCTGTTGTTTCACCTGTGAAAGACAAGTACTTCCATTGTTCCTTAGTAAAAAGAATTTCATAATTATAAATTAATACAATGGGATAACCTCAATATGGAAATGAAATCTAAGTGATTCTAATTAAGAAAAGCTTTAGGATTATTTTCTGATGATTAAAATCATTTACATGTTCCTTTGTTCATAGTTTCCTCCGTTCAATGACAGCTCTCCTGGACCCTGCACAGATTGAAGAGCGAGACAGGAGGCGGCAGAAACAGTTAGAACATCAGGTAGACTTTTGTTTTAAAGTCTAACACTATTTTAGTAAGAAGAAAGGATGAAAGGTAATGTTGTCTCATAAATAAAGCATGAGATTTAATGCCAGAATCCAGGGAGGCACTTGACTTTTATGCTTTATATTACATGTACAGTTGTTTGACAGTGTTTCATTCAGTTAGACCCTACAGTTTTCTTTCAATATTTGAACAGATGATTACATTTCTGTAACTGAACTCTTGCCTCAGAAAAGGTACAGTGCAGTCTTTAGAGCTCTAGTAGATTTGTGTGCATTTCCCTTCAGTCTCCAGTGCTGTAAGGAGGCCTGATATTTACAGAATCCCACTCCATGAATCTTTAGGTTTTTATCTGCTTTACTGACATTTACCTAACTTGTGTGGCATTCTACCTGAATGTGTATCTGCATGATGGTGTCTCTAGCATGGTGTAAGGAAGTCTTACTATAAATGTAACAAGACTGTTCTGGTCAAACTGTTGCTCTGCTAGATCAAATCAAAATCCTGGCTTAGAGGATGTACAGAAGGTAAAAATCAGACCTTCATTTATTTACAAGAAAAATAAAAACATTTCCTAAAACACAAAAAGCTGTTTTCTGTAACTGAGTATTTCAAACTGCTCTGTTGGACAGATGGTTTTCCAAAAGCAAAAGCAAAAGGGTTTGAAATAAATTGTCTTGATATTTTTTCGTTCGTCCACATCCAGTAATCACACACTTATATGAAAGTATATGAGGAAACAGCTTAGAATAATGTTGTGTGTTTTACATGTCCTTTTTTTTCCTGATACTGCTAGAAAGCAATAATGGCTCAGGTGGAAGAAAAACGGAAGAGGAAACAACTGGAGGAAGAGCAGAGGAAATGGGAAGAACAGCAGGAAGAGCAGCGCCTGGCGCGAGAGCATGAACAAATGCAGAAACAGTTTGAAGAAGAGATGCTGAAACAAAAACAAAAGCAGGTGGGTTTTTGCATTATCTTTAGTGCAGAAAGTCAACAATAATACTGAGTTTTGAAAAAAATAGTTGTTGTTCCTCACCTTCAAAACTGTTTCACCTTATCGCTTGGAAAATGAAAACTATCTGAAATTTAGACATTCGAAACCAAAATCTGTTTCCTCAGTTAATAAACTTAGAACACCACATAAATATAAAGCAAGTTTCTTTTTTTGAACAAGGACCTTTTCAGGAAGAGGAATAATAAGTACTGACAAAAATGGAAATGTAGTTTTAAATAATGCAGGAAGATGCATTTTAAAATGCAAATTTTAAATTAAAAAATACCTCAAAGTACGTGATCCAAATATTGATGTTGGTAACTTGATGCTTTTAAGATGCTTCAGTACCATTAAATTTATCAGACTGGATGTGCTTTCAGTCTGGATTAAAGACTTCTTAGAATACAGTCTGGAAAAGTCATTTTAAGAGTCATTCATATTCCTCAGCTTTCCCCTCTGTAGCTATTGCTGAGCATTCCATAGTCCTTTCTTATAGAAGTTAAACCAAAAGTACATTTTGACCTTTAGTAAGTACAAATTTTGCATTTATATAAGTTCTTACCTCTGTAGAAGGTTAAAAGCTTTGTCTGATGTTTCATTCTTCCTTCTGGCACAGTAGCAGCTAGTACTGTTTGCTTTCTATTTGGAACAGTAGCAGATTCCGTGGTGTCATAAGACAAGGTGATGCCAAAAACACTCTTCTCCAAAACCTGCAGGAATATGGATCCCTGATTTCTCTATATTTTCTGGCTGGAAATGTAGATCTGAGAACAAACTGGTAAACCACTGTGAAAGTCATCTTTCTCTGTAATTGCTCAGCCCCTTCAAAATATGTAACGCTGTCAGTTGTTGTTCTTTGTACCTGCAAATGCAGTAAGAAGTGGGGATGAGATGGTAGTAACAGTTTGGAAATGAGATTTTTCTTGGCCCAGTCTCCTGCACCTTGAACCTGCTGAGTCTGAAAACTGTAACCTCACATTTGTTGGGTAATTTTTACTGTCTCCTTCCTATGGAAGTAGGAGGGAGGTGGGATTGGGTATTTTTATTTAAGCTTCTTTGATTTCACTAAACCACACGATGCAGGACGTCACAGATGGCTGAAATCAGATGAAATCTAGAAAAAGATTAATTTATTAGCAAGGAAATAAATATCCAAATGACTTTAAGGGTATGTAGATGGTCACTTTTTACTGCTAGGATTGAACATCTTTCGTTAGTACAGCACAGGTTCTGAATTTAGTGTTATAGTCGTAGAAATTACATGTTACATGTTGCATTTGCTCAACTAATTTTAGTTGTGAAAAAAATATTTACCGAAATATGAATACATGTAAATCTCAAGAATTATATGGGGATTAAATAATCCTATTAGTTTTATTCTCAAAATAAGTGATCACATATTTAACTTTTTGTTTTTTAAAGGAACTTGTGACTCTTAAAACCAAAGAGCTCTGTCAGACAATGGAGAAAGCTCAGGAATTAGCCCAGAGATTGAAACAAGAAGAGCACATTCCAGACTTGGCTCAGAAGGCACATGACATTTCAAAACTTCAGAACAATCTTGGTGGTGGCAAGTATAAATCTTCTTATACTCAGTTTGCCTGTTCCTTTGGTATTTGAAAGCAAGTCGTTTCTGGGGTTGGAGGGTTTTTTTCTGTCTGCATTTGGGTCAGAATTTGCTACTTTGCTTCATGAACAAAAGTTCATGTCAATTTATTTACATATAAGTGTTAACTGCTATAGAGAATCTTGTCTTTGAGTAAGCTTCAAACACTCTATTACATAAAAGAAGAAATTTAAAGATATTGCCAGGAATGCACAGGGAATATTCATCTGTGCTGTCAATTAGATTTCCAGTCTAATTCTAGATTCTCCCAGGAAAAGTATGAGGATCTAAACCACAGTTCTCAGTATTGCTTTGAGTTCTAAACCACAGTAGCCTGATAACATGATAGAATTTAAATGGAACATATGTTACTAAATGGAACAATTTTACTTCGTGCTTTTCAGGTGATACACAACTTGAAAATTGTAATTCTGGCATTTCACATCAAAGCAGTAACTTTTCTGATGATGCTACGAGTCACACAGACCAACTGACTTCTCCTTGGAGAGACACTGCTGTGCAGACAGGTAATCACTCTCATACACCCCAGTGTTATAAATTGCGGCCCAATAAA